GCGTGCTCCACGGTGACAGGTATCAATAATAATACTTCTCATATTACACAGTCTTGTAGTCTTAGGGCGCGTTCCCACTATCTCGTCACGATTTATTATCGTTGGACGACTGTTGTGTCTAGCCTGTTCCCATATCACGACCATCAGTCGTGGACGATTTTTTATCGTTGAACGACTGTCGTGACTAGCTGTTCCCACTAGATCGTGACGACAATAGGAGCTGCGACAATCTGTCGTCACATGTTTATCGTGACGTTTTTTTATCGTCTGACGACTGTCGTTCTAGGTGTTCCCACTGTGACGACAATTTGTCGTTGTAACGATAAAAAATCGTGAACGACAGTTAATCGTGTCGTGCTATATGTGAACAATTTCATTGCACGACAATCGGTCGTCACGACATAGTGGGAACGCGCTCTTACTATCAAATCCTTCCATAACGATTATAGTCTTGCTGTTGACTGCCTTATTTTACCACATATCAAAAAAGCTTTACCTTCTTCATATATAGACATAAAAAATATTCCTCTTCCTACGGGAATAAGTCTAGCCGACCCTTCCTTCAATATACCGTCAGTCTGATGTCTATGATCTTAATCGGTGCACAAGTATTTTGGTCTAGCAATAACTCTATTGACTTAGGTAAAAATCAACCTAAGTTATATGAGACAAAACTGGGTTGGCTAATATCTGGGTACGTCACTCGTCTTAAGTCACCGTCTTCGTCCCCTATTTGCCATTTTGCAAATGAGGAACCCAATCCAGACTTATCACGTTTCTATTCTATCATTGGAACGTAAGTTTCATAGAGAGCCTGCCATTAAAGATAGGTGCATGGAGTTCATGCACGAATATGAACGGCTAGGTCACATGACCGAAAATAAGGAGCCTTCTTCTAGCTGTCTTCAACAAATAAATCATTTGTTACCTCACCGTGGTGACATCCGTGAGTCCAGGCTTACGACAAAACTTCGTATAGTCTTTGATGCTTCTGCAACGTCTAGCTCTGGTTTGTCACTTAACGATATCCAGATGATCGGTCTAACTGTACAAGAAGATCTTTACTCCATATTATTACGTTTTCGTCAACACAAATACGTCATAACCGGTGACGTAGAAAATGTATAGAGCGATTGAGCTCAATCCCGCTAAACGCTCTCTTCAACAAATTGTATTTAGATATGATTCATCCGAGCCTTTAAAAACCTACACTAAGTGTCTGGTTAGTTTGGCCTCCAGTGCTATCGATAGTGCTGTGAAACAGACAATTCAACGTCACTTTTACGTTGATGATTATTTAGACGGTTCGTCAACTGTTGAAAACACTGTGAAGCTTTGCAAAGGAGTCATAACCACTTCAAAAACCGCCAAATTCAATTTAAGGAAATTTCAGTGAAATAGTTAAGAAATTTTTCATCAAATTACGCCTTTTTTCTATCAATCAGATAACGTCTTAGATATCTCAAACAGTGACATTCGTGCATCATCAAAAACTTTAGATTTAAACTGGATCTGCGATTCAGACATCCTATCGTTTTCTATAAACATTCAACTTTGTGAAAAGATAACTAAATGACACATATTTTTAGTCATCAGTCAAATTGTCGACCCACTGGGCCTCGTGTGACCGTGTGTTGTCGAAGCCAAAATGATAATGCAGAGGTTGTGGATCGAATAATGTTCATGGGATAACGTGGTATCACAAGAGATAAAACAACTATGGCTGTCATTTGCCAACACGTTACCCCTTCTCAACCGATTACAGGTTCCTCGCTGGGTTCTTACAAATGACTCTGTTTTCCATGAAATTCATGTCTTTTCAGACGCATCAGAGTGAGCGTATGGGGCTTGCCTCTACATTCGCTCCGTAGATACCTTAGATTCAGTCAAGGTGCACCTCTTGACCTCGAAGAATAGAGTAGCGCCAATAAAACCAACAACAATACCTCTTCTCGAACTACTCGGGGCTCTACTGGCTGCAAGGCTGTATACCAAAGTATTATCATCTTTATCTTTACCCATCACCATGTGTAGATTCTGGTGTGACTCAATGATTGTATTAGGGTGGTTATCTACATCACCTACTAATCTTAAAAGTTTTGTTCGCAACCATGTGCATGACATACAGGAGAGCACGAAGAGTCATACGTGGAGTTACGTACCGTCGAAGGACAATCCGGCGGATCTTGTTTCTCGAGGGCTGAAGACTGACCTCATCAGCGATTCATCATTACTGTGGTCGGGGCCACCTTATTTATCAAAAAAGAAGTTTTTTGGCCACAACTGCCCAACGTTAGCGTGAAACAGGATGTACCCGAGTTGATTACTTGTTCTTTTGCGCTTGATAATAACGCTGATAACGCTAACTTAATAGCTAACTTAATCAAAAATAAATCTAAATTAACAAACTTACAAAAGACGACAGCATATTTACAAAGATTTATTTACAACTGCCGGCATCCAACAAATAAATTAACTAGACATCTTTTAGTTCATGAACTTCAAAACTCATTAAAATTTATCATACATAAATCTCAGTCGGAAATGTTCCCTGATGAATATGCTAAATGCCGGGAAGACTCTGCCTAACAAAAACCAATTGATTGCTTTAAGTCCATTTATAGATTCTGGATTCTGATTACGGATCTGGATTAGGGTTGGTGGGAGACTAGACAATTCTTCTTACAGTTACGAAACAAAGCACTCATTTTTAATACTCGCAAACATCCGAGTAAAACATATGAAAGGGTTGTAACTCTAACAAGCCGTGCCCAGGTTCACGGTAGTAAAACAAAAAACTTCCGGTCCATAAATTTATTTGAAGTCAGTTAAGGCCAAGTTATACTGAATTACAGATACATATTCATACATGATAAAGGCTGCAGTGGTTATAAACTTATTAAAATTGGCACATGATTCAGGGGGTCTACTCTCGATCTCCGTCCGACATCCGTCCGAAACAATTACTGCCAAATAAGCAATACTTGACCAAATGAAAAGACGCATGATGCGAATGAAGCTTCATACATGGTACTTGTCTTTTAATTATGTCGAATATTACTTATTTGACAGTAATTGTTTCGGACGGAGATCGAGAGTAGACCCCGAGATTTGTAATGATTATAAACTTAGTAAAGGAATCAAAATTAGACGCGATTGAATTTTAAGAGCTCCGTACGCTGCCGCGATCGAGCATGGAGTGACGGTGGAACGAAAGAAAATAAGAATACGAGGCAAAAGAACTATGGATCAATTCAAAATTTAAATTTAAATATGAGTGGCCAGGAACCGGAGAAAAGGCGTAAAAAAAATCATTGGTATATGTAACGTACCTATTGAATATAGCGGTTTTCTTCTATTATTTCCAGGTAAGTTTGTGTTTTTTTTCTATAGTGAACATTTTTAAGAATCGTGTTTTCACAGCGTATAGTAATCAATGTATATTCTCAATTTTACAGTATATTTTTTAATAGTCTACATTTTTTTAATGATACCAAGCCCCTGTCGCTCGACACGCGCAATAGAATCGATTCAGTACTTGAAAAAATTTAATACGAGCTGAGATAGTATCGATTCTTAAACGGGAGCGTAATGTGCATAATTTCTTTCATGTAGTTCGTATTATTGCTATGAATTTAATTTGACAAAAGCACTTTTTACGCAAGATCACTTGTGCCTTTATTATACCAAACCAAGAGTACGATGCGGTGCAATGGCTATCTCGTTTCAATTTGCTGCTTAATCACATTTTGATGTCCTAATATAACAAGATTTCACCCTTTTATTAAAGTTTACGAGTTTTGTCTTATTAATAGACGTGATTTTCCTTCTGCTCAGGTAAATGTTTTTCTTTTACTGATATAATTCGATGAAACTGTTGATGGGAAATTGTAAAAAAACGCTTCAACAGAACGTATACTTATGTTGATCTAAATCTGATTTATTTAAAAGTTTTCACATAATTTGTCTTTTTGTATTTAACTATTGTTACTCAAGTTTTTTGTGCTGAAGAATTTTATAACATGATATTTCAGCCAAAAGACGTCATCTGGTGAACATAGGCCTCCCCTAAAGAATGCCACAACGACCTGTCCTGTGTAGATTGCATCCCGCGAATTCCTGCAGCCCATCAGATCATCAGTCCACCTTGTGGGTGGTCTGCCCACACCGCGTCTTCCTTCCGGTACGCGGTCGCCACTCGAGAACTTTTCGGCGCCATCGGCCATCTGTTCTGCGAGCAATGTGCCCTGCGCACTGCCACAATTCTTAGGGCTATGTCGGTTATTCTCATTACTAATTCGATCTCGAAACGAAACTCCGAGCATAGCCTTTTCCACTGCCCTTTGAGTGGTCTTGAGTCTTCTTATGAGGCCCATAGTGTGCGACCACGTCTCAGTGCCGTAAGTCATCATTGATACTTATCATTCAACATGATAATACAAATCTGAATTTACATTACGATATGGGGTGTGTTAGTTGTTCCACCTCCACGCGTGCGAAGTTCTTGAGCAGTCTGTGATGACATGTTGTCACAGAATGCCCAAGGATGTAGCCGGTACACCCTGGGGCCAACACTGACAACTCTCGGCTTCAGTCTGAGTCTTACCAGTGAGGGCGCGAAGCGATCAACACGGCCCGGTCATGCGTTTATGGGGGTGGACCATGTAAAGTGGTGGGCGGTCTTAATTTACACCCTCCTGCGTTCATGCCTACGCAGTTGAGCGCCGTACGCAGGGATGAAGGAAACCTGAGTGCCTGACCCCGAGCGGGGTGGGGATTCCGGCAAGCAATACGCCCTCTTCAGCCCTGATTTCCTGCTAAACGGTTGCCCTGTGACTAGCCAACACAGGGAAACGGCAATGTGTCCCGTCCGAGGGCCACAGGCGAAGTGCGGGGGGATGGACTCGACCATGCTGACAGCAAGGATATGTACGGAATATGCGGCTGGCCGACCCGATCAAAGTCAGCCAGGTGACTTTGATCGGGTCGGCCAGCCGAATATTTTGAGCCCCCGATGTCGCGATCTCCTGATAATCCTGGTGTCCCGAATGGGACAACACCAAAGGTGCGGGCTCCGTGGTGGGTGGGAAATCAGGATAGTGAACACAAGAATACTGCAACATTAACTAAAATCATTCAATCACCTAAAACCGGTGGTACTGGGGGGTAAACCCAAAAGCACAATTTTAAACGTACAACAGCGCCCTACGGTGAGTGGTAGACCAAAGGGGAAACCCCAAGGCCAAGCGCGAACCGATGCCGGTGCTGGCCCAACACCAGCGGTAGTGGCCCGAGCCTCATGCTCTGTGGTCCCCGCCCAGACACCTGGCTCTGCATCGCAGAACCCAACACATACAGCCCTTGAGGCAGGGTGGACTCTGGTGAGTCGCAAGCCCGAAACCACGGTACCCATCCGCAAGGAAGGGCAAAGTGGCCAGGACGAGCGACCACCTCCAGCTACCAGTGGGAGCAGGGGACGCCCTGCCCGAAAGAACAAACGGGGTCGACTCCGAGAACGTGAGCGTCGCAATACGAAGGAAAATCCGAAAGAGGGAGAGGCGCGGCCCCCAGCGGGTGTCGGGAATGATGCAGAAACCGCGTTAGTACGTCCCACTGGACCGGACTCGCACGCGCCTGGAAGGGCCCCCCTCCCTCCAAGGAACAAACAAATGCACAAGGCACAGAAGTCCTCGACCAATGCCAAACGTGCCCGTCTCGACGAGACATTGTCTCCAAGAGGCGAACTCAAAAGGCAAAAAGTCGAAAGGCCCGCCCAGTCCAGAACGTATGCCGAGGCCACCGCACCGGAACTTCTAGCGGTGATCACTTCCGTCAAGATTGGTTATAGAAGGAGCCCCGATTCCGACATAATACAGGAGGCCCTTTGTGAGCGTCTCTCTCAAGGAGCAGAGGAATGCAGTGAGGAGGACGTCAGCCCACAGTTCCGAGGTAAACCCTTCTATAGCGACGGGTCCCTAAAGCTGTGGTGCCAGGACAAGGCCATCTTCCAATGGCTAGAGGACGCAATCAGCACGATCAGGCTGCCCACCGGGGAGCCTATGTCATTGAAAGATGGAGTGGAGGCTCCCCGGAGGGTCTGTGGACTGCTGATCCCCGGTCAATGGGAGGAAGCGCGCCGAATCGGCCACATGCTCACTTGGCAGAATAAGTGGGCGGAGGTCCACAGATGGTTTGTCCACAGGTTGCAGCAGCGACAGGGAAATAACTTTGTGGTGGTAAGCCTACTTGAAGCCTGGTACCTGTTATCGTGGGGCATGGCCGGCGCTTTTAAACAACTAACTAAAAAACTTTTATACAATTTACACACACAGCCACTAACACAATTCTGTTCCAGAGACCTGAGTTCCTAAAGCTTCTAACTGACGCGGCCACGGCCCTGCCTGATGTGGTGCTCTATATGGCGGAGACTGATGTGCCACCACCACAGGAAATGGTACAGCTAATCAACCACTGCGAGCAGAACGGCCAGCACATTGTCGTGGCCCCTGAGTCTAATGCCCACCATCCGCTGTGGGGCATGGAACTCGCAAATGACAGAAGTAAGAACTTAACAGAATACTTATTTACAATTAACCTTCAAATCCTCAATAAAGATACAACACCAACTTTCGTAAACAAAAGATGTAGCACTATCATAGACCTAACCCTAGCGTCAGACGGAGCAAAGAAATCTTGTCCATAACTGGCACGTGCCAGATCCGAAGAAGCATCTTTCTCAGACCACAGATGGATAAGATTCAACTTAAAAACAGTTATCAAAGTACAACAACCGAAACGAAACCCCAGAAAAACCGATCGGAAAATTTACACTGACAAACTACACCAGAGACTGGGGGAACCGGTAGCACCGGGAAGACTGCTGGCCACAGCACAGATAGAAACACAGATTAAAGAATTAACATCAAATATATTGAGAAGTTAAAGTTATAACTCAGCATGCCCACTAAGTGACCCCGCGACACCGCTTGCTTGCCACAGGCTGCTAAGAAGGGTAAGGAGACACTTCAATAGAGCAATGAAAACATGCGCGGATGAGGACTGGGAAAACTACAAGACAGCCAAATCCAAACTAAAGAAACGCATTCGATACCGTGTCATCGCGAGGCTACTGCGGGAACATCACGTCTTGTGCACAAGCGAACAGACTAAGAGAAATCCTAGCGAACTCAAATGCAACTGAACTAGGTTCAATACGTAAAACAAACAACACATTTACAACTTCCCCTGAAGAAACGGAAAGGACCCTACTGGAAGTACACTTCCCAGGATGCAGGTTCGTCCAAGATGACAGGCACAAAGAAATGAACTACAATACATCGACCCGTAACTGGTAATACGCTGAACAAGTAGTAACATACGAAAAAACAATAACAACATATCAACACCGCTTGGTGACCACAACACAGTATTCCAGGCTGAATGTATGGGTATCAAGTTGGCAGCAGAAGCAATAATAGCGAGAAGAGTAAAGAATCACTCCATTCGAATACTCTCCGACAGCATGTCAGTACTGCAAGCGCTGAGCAGCTATGATATTAACTCAGGGCTTATATATGAATGCCACCAAGTACTCATGGAGGTATGTATACACAACCACGTAACTCTACAGTGGATTAAAGGACACAGCGGCTCACGTGGCAATGACACAGCAGACCAACTAGCTAGAAAAGGGTCGGAGGCGGATGCTGTAGGGCCAGAACCCATAGTGTCCCTCCCCTACAAGAACAACTGTACACAAAGGTACAAAATCTTCTCATAATAACATATGGACAACCCTTACGGTTTGTAGACAGGCTAGGGAAGCACTCCCAACGCTCAACGCCAGTCTATCTCGTAAATTAATCAAACTTGAAAGACAAGAGCTGCGCACTCTATCTGCCGCTCTAACGGGTCATGGTCCATTAATAAACTCCTTGTCAATTTAGGTATCACGGACAGCCCTCTATGCAGAGCGTGCAAAGAGGGGGAGGAAACGGCCGTGCACATCCTACTAGAGTGCTCCGGCGTGGCCAACTACAGGGCAAAGTACCTTGGAGTGCCGAGGGCGCTCCCCGAAGTCTTAAGCAAACCGAAGAGGCTGCGATTCCTGGAGGAGCTTAGGTGGCACGAGTACGACCCTGCAACCACCACACGCAAAATAGGCGCCTCGACGTCGAGTTGCGGAAAGCCCGTTACACCAAATACCAGGTACCAAGATTACGATATTCGTCATATTCCAGTTTTATTAATATTTTAAGATGTACAGCGAATTATTTTTCAAATTATTCTTAAAAAAATTAATTAATCTTTTAGGTGTGCCTGTGTGTACTGTGTTACTAGGGACACGGAAAAGAATCGATACTTTTTGGTGCCGAGCACTTTGTTTATACCAATATTTTTGTAGTCCATATCTATTCGGCACTTTTTGACAAGTATCATATCGTTTCGAATAATTCCTACTTAATACGAAAGCCTAAGATTTCAATGTGAAAATATAATTAATTGGTTATTCGACGATTGACAAACATACTAGTGCAACTTGCGCGATTAAAACAGAATTGTTAATGTCATTAAATAAAAAACAGTTGATGTATTCATAACTGTTTTATTCTGTCGTTAACTAAGGAAAATCTGTAGGACAAAAGTATCGATACCTTTAGGTATCGTACTTATAAAAGAATCGAAACTTTTATGAGTATAATACTTTTTATCCCATACTACTTACTAGTACAGTATCGACATTTTTATTTAACGTTATCGTAGAAAAAGTTTCTTATATTTTCTATGGTTTTTTTTAATTATATCAAGTGAAGGGACGAACAACTCGTGCGTATAATGGTAAGCTACACGCTTGTCCATGGCAGTTGTTGCAGTGTCACTCAGAGCTTTAAATCGAAAAGATCAAAATGAGGCCACTGCCATTGCGCCAATCACCCTGATACATAAGTTGACTTTTTTTTTTTTTTGCGTGGGGAAATCCTCCGAGGATACCTCTCCGCCGCGGAGGCAGCGGGAGGTTATGCCGGACTTCTACCGGCTAAAACCCCACGGTGGCCTTCTCGGGTGCTCTAGTGGGAAGGATCCGGGATCGACTTTGCGCACCGGAACCCCCCCAGCACCTAGGAGGAGCTACGTCCTCCCCTCCTCTCCTCACGACGAAGCGGGCCACACCGCCCCGTCGTCCTCCTCGCGGCTGCCTAACTTACTGGCGAACGAAGCCCCCGCTCCGATCGCCTGCAGCCGCGAAGGTACGCCGCCGCCGAGCGGGATCGGCCGTCTCCCGATCACGCTCGGCGACCTCCTTCTGAAGCATCACCGCTTCACAGAAGGAGACCACTGCCTCGTGGGAGATACATAAGTTGACTAGTCCAATGTGCCTGTATTTGCACCATAGCACCCTTAAAATTATTTATTGCTTTTATTAACACGTTTATATATAATCTAATAATCCTTTGTATGATCCTATAAGAAAATATTCACGATTATGGAGGACTATTTAAAATTTGCAAATTAATTATCAAAATTAATAAAATTACCAATTAAGCAAAGAATTTATGTATTTTTTATAAATATGTATAATAGGAAACGAGATAAATTAATATTTTGTACATATTCGATTTACACTCCAGCAGAATTGGAGTATTTTTACTTATTAATTAAATTGTATTTTCATTACACAACGAGTAAACTTTAAATTAATAAAGTTTTAACAAATTCGTGAGTAAAGAGTACATTATTGTAGAAGCCAGGACTTAAGGAATTACTGAACGAGTAGGTAATACGAGTCAAGAAATCCCCGTTCCCGCCGAGGCATATGCATTGCTTTTCTCAAACAATATGAGGAAACAAAATACATTAATGCAATTTTCCTTTGAAAGAAACGCTATGACGTCACTCTTATTCATTTATGATACTCAATATAGCCGAATCCGTAAGATACTAAAATATTCAACACCAAGTTCAATTCCATTAGCCAGGTAATTACAACTTATCGGATATTGGTTTCTTATAATCGATACAACAACAGGAACATTACAAAAACTATTTCTCTACCGTTTGGTTCTTTTCAACCAACTTCAAAAAGGAGGGGTTTTCAATAATTATAATAACGCACGTACCCCGCACTTGGGAAACCACACACAAACAACCACAAATCCCAAACCCGAACCCACGAGAAAAATAAATGTTGGCCATACAAATATTTCTCCCGGCCCGGGAATCGAACCCTTTGCGTAGCCGTCCAGTATGGTAACTGTTCGACCAGGCAGAATTGGATTGTATTTTTTTGTGCGTTACACGATTAGGCTGACATTTGTAAACTATAAAATTTGGACGTTTTTTTTGTTGGAAAGGGTAGTGATCCCATTGAAATTTGAAGAAAATATTCCACCTTCAAGGGTGGCCGACTAAGGGATGAATCCAGTTTCCGGTAACCGATTTCAATAAAGCTTGGCAAATAGATATAATTCCACAAACTTTTGAAATCGGTTTTTCTATGAAATTTTTTTTAAATTTATATATTTATGTTCTGGTTACAAAAGACCCACAAATACATACCTTATAGAGTAACATACATAATAAAATTAAAACACATTATTTATTTATTTACACGTATTTTCACACGCCCTTTTTAGCAATCTGGTTATTGAATTTCACCCACTTTCCGTTAACCAATTTTTTTTGCGTCGTTTTTTTTTTTTTTGTTGCGTTGCGTCGGCCGACGACGCAATGCCACCACTGGCGGCGAGGCTCCACTAGAGCACCTGAGAAAGCCCCCGTGGGGTTTTATCCGGTAGAAGTATCCTAGGAGGATTTCTCCATGAAAAAAAAGACTGACTTGACTGGTAATCGGTGTCTGTATTTTAGTGAAAGCAACCGAAAACAACACTGTCCGCTTCTGCGCATGTAGTGGTCGATTTCATTATAATTGTATGAAAATAGAATAATTATACACCACCAAATATCGGTTGCTAGTATCCGACACAAGACACTTTACCATAAAACATTGGCAATTATTTCCTACGATCGCCACACCGAAAACTCATGGTAGGGGTATTGGGCTAAGTCGAAAGCCATTAACCCTGTAAATACAATGTACCCGGTTCGACAGGGCCGATACGGATTAAATAGCTATGGATTAATTACGAGACGTGTCAATGTCGATCATGGATATTTGCGAGAGGATTTAACACTATAAATAGGAAAAGAAAAATTGCTTTTTCATGACAATATGCCTTAAAACACAGTAAGTTTGTAAATCATCGTAAAATGAGATGTCGAATTCATTGAGTATCTGTGGCACCTTTGGTATAATAGGGCCATACCCAAGCAGCACATCTATATCTAAATATATACTATAAGATATCTAATAGAATTTAATTCGATTGTATATTTTAAGAGATCAAATTCCCTCAAGATATCTTGAAGAAGAGTCTAAATAATTTAAAGTAAAAGTGGGCAAAACTTTATTAGTACATTACAGGAGTTCTTTGAGAAATTATCTGTAGGTAGTGTTAAGAGTGATTATTGTCTTTTTTCTCAAGTAACCCTTCTAGAATGCTACAAGACCAGTTGTAGAACAGGATTTAGTCTTGTAGACGTTTTTAGGTTATTTATAGTCTATGATAATTTTCTTAGTAATGCTATTTTAAAACCAAAGTAACTAAAGCTTTACAAGCGCACAACGCAATTCTCTTAATACTAATAGATTTCAAGTTTAATGGCTTACAAAATATAAACTATCAAAATTGCAACATGGCGAAATTAGATATAATATTTCTGACTTTTTTGCGATGTTTAATCGTTTAGAAAGCGCGAATTGACATGCGACTTTAAATACATTGTGAAAAGTAATGAGAAACCTGTCATAAAGCTAATGCGCTCGCTGTATTTTAAATATTTATGTATAAATAGAAACTTAATAAAAATACAGTTATCGATTTTCGGTTTTAAATATTTATAGAAAGCTGAAATATACAGAATAACTCACAAAACAAACCATTTCCAAGAAGTTCTAGGCTTCTTCAAGCTAATTTCAACTTAAATTTACTTTGTAAAAAGAAAAGAAATTTTTCTCGGCTACTCATTGACTTACAATTACTTCATAATTTCTTTAAAAATAAAAATGGCGATAAGAATTTAAAGCCTTTTTCAAAACAGTATTAGGAGCATTTCGTCTATAGCTTTATCTATACAAAAACTTTAGAATACGAAAAGATTATTTTTAAAACAATTTCTAAAATCCAATTTGTCGCAAAAAAAATTTTTCTTTATTCGGTATAATTATATGCGAGGGTCATTTGAAAAGTTCTTAGCCTGACATAGTTAGGGTCATCG